AGAATTAATATTAAATTTAATTGTTATAAACAATTTTTTAACCAAGTTTGCTTTTTTTGGAAAATTTTTTTTTCTTTATAGAATCAGAAGTTTATTAGTAGCTCTGAAATAAAAGCTTAAAAAATATAGTTCTTTAAAATAATTATTTTTATAAACATTTTTCTTAACAAAAATTTCATAAATTTTATGAAATATTTTTGCGTAAGTAAATAATATCACATACCTACTAACGATAGGATAAGTGTGTTAATTGTGCTGTGGTTGTTTTGGTTATTGTTTTGAATTATTATTATTATTAAATAATTAATGTTATGAAAATTTTTTATTAACAATAAATTAATAAATTTTCTAAAATTTATATGACAAATCAAATAATGTTTTAAGCTTATTTCAGAGCTACTATAAACTTCTGATACTATAAAGAAAAAAATATTCTAAAAAAAGCAAACTTGGTTAAAAAATTGTTAATAACAATTAAATTTAATAATAATTTGTTTAAATCTTGCTTAAATAATAATAATTATGTTTTAAATCTACAACAGTATTTATGTAAGGTCCGGTAAATTGTATAATTAGAGAAAAATACACCTCTCTAGGTACAATATGTAAAAAGTTAGTAATTAACAATAATAATAATAATTTATTTAAACAAATAGAAATTTAGAAAATGCACAGTATTCTTACAAATTTATAGCCTGTCATTTTCCAAAAAGAAAAATTTAATTCGGTTAAAATTTACGAATTATAGGTGATTTTGAACATTAGTTTGTATGTAGAGTATAGCCTGAAAATCAGGGTGTCTACTAACCGGGAATTCCGGGAATTTAATGTGACCGGGAGAAACCGGAAATTTGCCGGGAATTTTATACCAAAGCGGGAATTTTTTCACCAAAATTAAAAAAGTTTTATTATTTTAATTTGTTTTTAAAAAATCACATTTTATTTCAATTTTTATAGATATTTATTCTGTTCTCTAAATTTAAATTAGTTAAAAATAATTAATTTGATATTAAAAAATCAGTCATCAATTCAAACATATTATGTAAATAAATTTTTAAAAATTATGGAGTTAATAGAAATATTGTGAAATTCGACTGAAAATATATTTAATAAATTTCTTAAAGAATTTCATTAAAAACTTTTCAACAAATTGAATTTTCAAAGTATTTTAATTTAATAATTGAATTTTATAAAGAGTCATATTATAATGTATTCATGTTTTTAAGGGCGAAGATTAATAATTAAAATTTTTATTAGTTAATTTAAAAAAATATACATATGTACTTAAAATTGTTTTAATAAAATTGAACCTTCGCAAATTTTTTTTTTAATCCAAAAAATAAGATTGTTGTAATTTTTTAATTCTACTGTTTCAGGATAATTGAATTTTTCTAAAGAAATAATTAAAAATTTTTGAAATAATTGAAATTTCTTTACATTTTTTGAAAAATAATTGAATTCTTTTAAAGAATTTCATTTAAATTTTTCGAAAATAATCAAGGGAAGTTAGTGACCGTAATTATAATTTTATTTTTAAAATTTAAAGTCCCTCTAACAGTTTTAAATCAATTTTTTGCTTCTAAAAATTATATTATTCTATTATTATTCAATAATTATAATTATTGAACTTCTCTTAAATTTTTATAATTTCAAATTTCTGAATGTTCAAATAAATGATATTTATTTATTTCTTGAGCAAATTAAATGTTTATTACTTATTAAGTAAATAATTAATTATTGCTGCTTATTATTTTAATAAAATTCTTCACAAGAATTAAATTATTTTCATAAATAGAGAAAGGTAGATTATGCGATTGCATAATTGCATAATTTTTTAAAATCAAGTAGAAACATTATAATATTATGTTAATTCATGTTTTAAACCTTTTATAACATGTTTCTAGAGCGCATAATATTGCATAATTTTTTACTCACTGCATAATTGTACTTTTTTTGCATAATGATCGCATAATAGGCTAAAAATTTTCAAGATAGTGCTTTTCTTAACTAAAAACCATGAACATTTTTTTCAGTTTCTTTATTTTTAAAATATTTTTTTAAATTAAATAATAAATAAGTTTTTAAACTGTTAACTAACTTGTTAAATGTTATTGAAAAATTAAATAAATCTTAAATTTTAAAAAGCAGTAAGTGCTATATATGATGAGTAAAATCGTTTCCGGTCATTTTCCCGAATGTCTAATATTTATCAAATGTCTAAAATCTCGAATACTTTTCTACAAAATTTTGTATGAAGATGTTTCCGTTGTTAAAATTTTTTTCGGAATCTTAAAGAAAGCACAGCAAAGATTTGTTTAGTGTTTGCCTCATTCAATTTCGTTTGGTCGTTCAAAAGTTATTTAATTATTATTTAATACCTGTTTTGTTTATAAAAATTTGTATAAACATAATATAAACAATTGATTTGTTTTCTTTGCTGAATTAAGTGTGGTGGAAACATTTCTTTTTATGTAACCGTTTCAAATCAAAAAAAATTTTGTAAATGCAACATAATTTTGTAAAATGAACATTTTTTAGCGCATAATTGAAGCAGAATTCTTTTTAATTGCATAATCATGCTCATTTTAGCGCATAATTAACGCAGAATTCATTTTTTTAGTCCCATAATTCCACATAATTGTACACAATTTAAGCGCATAATTGTGCACAATTTTAGCGCATAATTAGAGGGACTCAAAATGCATAATCTACCTTTCTCTATTCATAAATAATAGCAGTCTTTGGAAGGATTCAATTATTTTTAAAAATAGTAAAATTCTTTGCAGAAATTCAATTATTATCAATATAATTTTAATAAAATTGAAAAATCAAATTTTCAATTATAATTATAAAGAGAGATTATTTTTAAAAAATTGAAAAAATTTAATTCTTTCTTTAATTCAATTATTTTCCAAATTTTCAATTAAAATTATTGAAAAAACATTATTTTCAAAAAATTTAAAGATTTATTTATGTTCGAAATCAAATTTAAATTTAAATTTGATGAGAAAAAAAACCGGGAAAAAATTAAGATATAGCCGGGAAAAAACGGGAATTTTGTTGAACGAAAATAGCAGACACCCTGGAAAATGCGCTTTTTACGGTTGCGCGCAAGGACAAAAAATTCAATATCTCCTACAGTTTCAGACCCTCCATCAATTGTTTTTGGAAAATACCTACTCGTGAAATAAGTGGAAATCGAATCAATGTTATTAAAAGTAAAAAAATTGTTTATTTAAGAATTATTTTTTAAATAATTTATTATAAAAAAAAAATTTTCTAAATTGTAAGTAAACAATAAGCATTTCCTGAAAATTTAATTCATTTTTCTTTGAGATATATCATTTTTAAAATTTCAAAAGAAAATTTAAAAACCTCGTAAATCCAAAATTTTTCGAAATCGATTTTGGGCTTTTTACTGGCATGTATTCCACTTTAAAATTTTGAAGTTTCAACAAAATTGAAGAACTAGGGGACAACTTTGATTTTTAGGCATGGACCTACCCACATGAATATACAAAAAACGGTTTTTTGACCCTAAAATTAAGTTTTTGGGGTGTTTGGGAAATTTCAAACACTACTTTTTTCAGTTTTTCAAGACGAACAATTTAGGATATGTCCGATTTAAAGTGCTATTTTACTGTCACACAGTGTAGTCTTACAAATTTTATAAATTTCATGAATAGAGAAAGGTAGATTATGCATTTTGAGTTCCTCTAATTATGAGCTTAAATTGTGCATAATTATGCGCTTAAATTGTGTACAATTATGCGGAATTATGCGACTAAAAAGATGAATTCTGCGTTAATTATGCGCTAAAATGAGCATGATTTTGCAGAATTATGCAATTAAAAAAAATTCTGCTTTAATTATATGCTAAAAAATGTTCATTTTACAAAAAACGGTTAAACAATTTCCTGAAAGGCCCTATCGCGAATGTCTAAAATCCCAGATACCTTTTTCTCGAAGATTTATGTACCCAAATTTTTTTTTGTTTTTTATTAAAAAATGGATATATGTGCAACTCCAAGTGGGAATTTAGTTTTTTCGGAGTAAGTAAACTAATTGCAATAAAATTCAGGAATTTTAATCTACACATAAAAAGAAATGTTTCCACCACACTTAATTCAGCCAAAAACGAAAAAATTGTTTATATTATGTCTATAGAAATTTTTATAAACAAAACAGGTATTAAATAATAATTGAATAACTTTTGAATGACCAAACGAAATTGAATGAGACAAACACTAAACAAATCTTTGCTGTGGTTTTTTTAAGATTACAAAAAAAATTTAACAACGGAAACATCTTTATATACAAAATTTTGTATAAAAGTATTCGGGATTTTAGACATTTGATAAATTAGACATTCGGGACAGGGCCTTTCGGGAAAATGACCGGAAACGATGTTACTCATTATATATAGCACTTACTGCTTTTTAAAATGTAAGATTTATTTAATTTTTTAATAACATTTAACAAGTTAGTTAACAGTTTAAAAACTTATTTATGATTTAATTTAAAAAAATATTTTAAACATAAAGAAACTGAAAAAAGTTTACATGGTTTTTAGTTAAAAAAGCACTATTTTGAAAATTTTGAGCTTATTATGCGATCATTATGCAAAAAGAGTACAATTATGCAGTGAGTAAAAAATTATGCATTATTATGCGCTCTAGAAACATGTTGTAAAAGGTTTAAAACATGAATTAACATACATAATATTATAATGTTTCTACTTGATTTTAAAAAATTATGCAATTATGCAATCGCATAATCTACCTTTCTCTGTTCATGAAAAATTTCATCGATGAAACAAAAGTTTCCAATTGAAAGTTTCAACGGCACTTTGCTAAATTTGGTGTGAATTCATCATTAAAAGATAAGAGAAAAAAATAGGGAAATTTTCAATAGGGTACACGTTCAGGGGCCAAAATTATAAAAAGGGGACTGACTGTGAAGCCTGTCAATGCTACTAATAAAAATAAAAAACAACGTACCTTATCGACCTTCTCCAATTTCGCGTGCTTAGTCGGCACTGGTGGAACAATAGGCAATGCCAAAGGAGAAACAACAGGTGGTGTATTAATCACAGGTGGTGGTACCACTGCTGAAGTAACAGGTAATATTAATTCTTTATCAGGTATTTTTGCAATTTTTTCATTCTTTTCTTTCTCAATTTTCTCGGGTTTTGCGGGTGGAATTATCGGCGCATACTTCTCGCGATCAACAGCTTTCGCTTTTCCCATTGAATAGTCTTCGAGTTTCATTGGTGGATTGAGAAAACGTGGTGGTATTGGTAAATTCGCCATGCCTGGATGAGTATGTGTTATGCCTTTCGGAAGTGGGAGAGGAAATCGTGGAAACATTGGATGTCCAATTGGAGGCGGGATGAGACCAGGGGCTGGAAACGGTGGAAAGAATGAGAATGGTAAAAGATTATGTGGTTCGCGTATTATGGGTGGAGGTTGAGGAAGAGGTGGAGGTGGAGGATGATGTTGTTGATGGTGGTGATGGTGGAGAGGGGACTCAGGGCGTTGGGGAATTTTGGTTCTGTCCGTTAAGTCCATTTCTAATGGTTCCACCATCATTTTTGTCTGCGAGAAAAGTGAAAGTGCACAAGTAATAAAATGGAATACTTTAACAATAACAATAACAATAATGATAATAATAATTACCTTCTTGGTGTTGACAGACTTGAGAGTTTTGATTTTCGGTTCTTTTTTCTTAGCGATTCGTTCGCGTTTCTTTTTCTTTGTCTCCACGGGAAGAGGGAGACTGAGCTCGGGGGTTTTTGGAGTGCTTGGCGTACCGGGAGGTGACATGTTGTCGAAGGTGTAAGCGTAGGTGGCGGAACTCTGTAATGCAGATACATCACCATCGGGGAGTACAACATCCGGTGTGTGAGGAGTTTTCTTCTCCTCGCGTTTCACTTCGATGTCAGAGCGCTCGCCAACATCGCTAATTAGAGACGGTGAGTTTTCCCTCGAGACTTTTACGTCCTTGTGCTTGTGCTGTTCTGTCTCCTTCTCGGGTTTGGAAATCTTTTTGAATATGTTTAGTTTGCGTTTGTCTGGCTCGGACGGGAGTTTATCAATGGACTCCTGCTTCTTGTCGGGAGGCGGTGCAGTACTTGACACGTCGATGATTTTCTCCGCCTTTACCTTCGACTGGGCGTTTTTTGCCTGCTTGGGACTAGCAGACGTTTTCGGTGCTTTTATCGCGGAAGGTGTGCCCGATGGTCCGGGTGTTTTGCCGCCACCTGGCTTCAGGGCTTTCAGTTTAGCCAACTCCTTCATGCCAGTTAGTTTTTTCACCTCGTCCGGCTTAAACAATTCCTTGACCCGATTTTTCTTTTTATTTTCCTTGTCCAATTTACGTGCCTCCGGCGTTTTCTTGACGATTTTCTTTGGCTTTTTGTCGGACTTTAGTTCTGGTGGAACCATGGGATAAGAACTGGGCGGGGGCGAGTCAGCGCGTACCTGTTGAGGAGTACGAGCTTCAGGGAGTTTACCTTCGCGTGCTGGTGATAAAAACCCAGAAGTTGTCATCATGACGCTGTGAATCTCGCGCAACGGTCTTCCCTCCTCGGTCAATTTCGGTCGCTTCGTTATTGGACTCTCGAATGAAACGGGATCCCCGGGACGCTTGAACACTCCTTGGGGCGACAAACTGTCCGCTGCACCTGCTGACAAGCCGTTTGATTCTGGCGACTCGGACAATCCATTCGTCAAGGTCTCCGACTTCTCCGCGGGATAATCTTCTAAAATTAAATCAAATTACCAAGTTGCTGAAATTCACAAGACAATATGTAATTATAGACTTGTAATAGTCACCCTCAGTTTCAGGATACATTGCCGGCAAGTGCTCGTGTACATGCACTGGTCGAGTGACAACTTCACGACTACCGGGCTTTAAAAAATTCAAGTGATTTTCTCTAGCCACAGGAAGTTTTGGCACTGAAATCGGACATGGAATCGAGTCGACATTTCTCACATATTCCGACAATTCCTCTATGTTAATATTCATATGCCGAAAAGCTAATCCCAAATCGTCGAGATTAGGTTCCGTTCTCCCCACTTTAAAGAAATTAAACTTTTAATGACACTTTCATTTCTTTAAATTACTTTCTGCCGCAAGATAATTTCAACATACATACCAACTTCGCAATATTGATGTGTAAGTCTTGATATTCGTAGAAGATATTCGTGCATGAGATCAACCAAAAACTCCAAAGGTGTGGAATTAATGGAATGCCAACCAACAGTTTGGCACATTTGAGCCACCACAAGTCGCAGAACTCCGCGACTATAATCCGTCGTCATTGTGCAAGCTGAATGACTAAAACCATTTGCTCCTTTTTAAAAACTTGATTAATAGGCCACTGCAATTTTTACTTATTATTTTGTTAATCCCAATAAGTGAGAATATATTTAAGAAACAAATCGAGAAAAATCCAGAATTCAAGTTCAAAATTAATTTACCTAACTTATACAGTTTCTGCTTCGTTGAAAAAAATTAAGAGAATAATAAATTTAATGTTTATCAAATGGGAATTAACTATGTTAAAACCACAGTAAAAATGTTGAAAGTAATTAAGTATGGATTCTCAAGTTGAAAAAAAGTAAATACGTGGATTGTAACTATTTTCGCTTTTTTCCAATCAAAGGGGAAAGTAAGGTTAAGAATATATTTTTCACAAATAACCTACATACTTTTTAGAAAAAAATTACAATTGCTGTTCAAAACATATGGTATAATTAAATTTATTAAATTTAATAATTTCCCTCCTCCAAAAGAGAAAAATAATCTGACAGGAATGTGTACAATCTATAAAAGAAATTGTGTCTCACCTGATTTTCTAAAGTAGAGCATGAAATTTACGACCTCTGAATAATATTGACCTCACTCCCATAGCAAAATTATATACAGAATATAAGGTCACTCATTTAAGTTATGTTTTAATGTTATTAAACATGTATGTAAATTATTTAAAGATAAATAAATCGCAAGAATATATTTCACCTTCTTTCACATCACGAGCGTCCGTCGCCATATTAATACTGAATGAGTGACTGTACTATATATATATATATATATATATATATATATATATATATATACTTATTGACTCATTGTCATTTATGCATATTTATTTAATTTAATAAATTGTAAACATTTCTTTAAATTTTCGTTTAATTTATTCTTTATGTAATTATTTAAAAATTACATTAATAGAAAAAAAGATGAAAAAAAAATAATTGGAGTAAACTTACCTTCAGAAAGTAATGTAATTTCCTACTTTATTATCAATTTTAGGTCTTAACTCACAGCGCCCTCAGCGGAACGTCGAAAGTTCCCTAAATCATATGGTAATAGGGGATGCAGGTCTTCTTCCCAGATAGAAAAGAGCATAACGACTATTAAGTCTAATTCACAACTAAAGAATTGCAAGTTTCACTAATTTCATTTGAAACGAATTTTAAATTGAACGAAACTCGTTGCTTCTGAAATGACATTTAACCTAATGTGAATGTAAACGAATCATATTTATAAAGAATTATAATACTCAATACTTTTAAATTACTGTGATTAGTGTCAGTTTAATTATTTATGTAACAAAATTTTTAAATCTTATAAATTTCTAGTTTTATAAAGTAGATTAAATATAAGCGTAGTTTTAAATAAATTAGTTTCTTTAGAATAAATATTTAAAATAATAATTTTGTAAACGAATCAATAATAAATATTATTTTCGAATATTTAAATGTTTATTATTGCGAATTTTCTTAATGGAGTAATATTTATTGATATAATTTCAATTTTTGTTAGGTAATAATGAAAGTAATTTTTAAATGCTGAATTAATTAAAGATTTCAAATTTAATTTTAAAGAAATTTGAATTAACTTAATTATAGTTGACACTATTTTCCTTGTAACGTAATATTATTTTTGACAAAATCTAATGATTTGTAATTCACAATAAATCGAATTCTCTCCAAACCTAAAAAGCAATGTTTTATCTACTGAATTAGTTATGACTTCATTTTAGAGAATACATTTTTACAGTAATAATTATATTAATGAAATAGAAATGAACTTAATTTTTAAATGCAGAAATGACAATCGATATGAATCTTTTTAGATCATATATGAAAGTTGGAATAATATCTGTTTGCAACAATTAATTATTGAGATAATTTATAAATGTCCAATTTGTTACAAATTCTATTAAAAACTTGTTTGAATATTGATTTAACCTTTTTTTCATTTTGTCAAATTATTTTTTAATACAATGTGAACTTTTACGAAATTTAATATTGCATATTTCTTCAGGAATCGAAAGTTTGTATAACCTAAAAACAATGTTTATGAATCTGTGTTTTTAATAAATTTAATATTTTTTAATTAATTTATAACAAAATTATAATATTAAAAATTAAATTTTAATGTAATGTTTAAGTATACATTATGTAAATTAATATAGACTAATTTTTATTATTAATAAATGTAATTAAATGTATAATAAACTGAATCGTTATGTATAGTGTAATTTTTATTTGTTTTATTTTATATTTTCTATATATCTAATTATATCAAATAGTTTTTTATTCAAGCACTACCTATCAGAATGTCTTTCTCATCCCTGGTATTTGCACTAATTAGTTTCTGAGAATATTTATCGAAACTAGCAAAAACCTATTTCAGTTTTTCTAGGTTAGCTCGTATTTAAATTTTATCGAAATATGAATTTTTTTTTTTTGAATTTTCACATTTTTCAGTTTTCTAATACTGATATCTGGGAACAATGGCTATTAAAAGTTTATTAAAAAAATTCGCTATGATTATAATTTGAAAAGCAATAATTCCTTTTTAATTTCAGATAAAGAAACAAAAATTTGGTTAAAAATTGTTTCAGTTATGAATTTTTTTTTTCTTGACTTTTTAAAATTTTTCGTTTTTCTGAAACGGGCAAGTGAGAACGCTGACTATTAAAAGATTATAAAAAAATTCGCAGTGGTCACCATTTGAAGAACAATAATTCTTTCTTAATTTTTGACATTGAAAAAAATTCGATCAAAAATTGTTCAAGTTATAAATTTTTTTTTTACTTTTTCACATTTTTCGATTTTTTAATAAAGCGAATGGTGACATTTTGAAGAGCAATAATTCCTCTTTAATTTCTGACAAAGAAAAAAAATTTTGGTCACAAATTGTTCCAGTTATGAATTTTTTTTTTTTTTTACATTTTCACATTTTTCGGTTTTTTTATGCTGGCGGGTGGGAACGTTGGTTATTAAGAGTTTATTAAAAAAATTCACAATGGTCAAATTTAAAAAAGCAATAATCCTTTATTTCTGACAATGAAAAAAAAAAGTTGGTAGAAAATTATTCGTATTATTTATTTATTTCTGTACATTTGTCTACTTGCGGTTATACCGAACCGCGGGTTTTGATTTTTTTTTTTTTTTGACTTTTTTGACTTTTTTCGAAACCAAATATTTCGAATCAAATATTCTTTCTTGTTCAGAAATTAAATAGAGATTCTTTCTCTTTAAATTGTGCCCATTACGGATTCTTTTTATAAATTTTTAATAATCAGTGTTCCAACTTCCGTTCTCAGAAAACCGAAAATTCAAAAAGAGTAAAAAAAAATTCTTAACTCAAACAATTTTTGACCAAATTTTTTTTCCATGTCACAATTTAAGGAGGAATTATTGCTCTTCAAATGGTGATCAATTCAAATTTTATTGATATACTTTTAATAGCCAACGTTTTCACCCACTGGTTTCAGAAAACCGAAAAATTTAATAAAGTCAAAAAAAAATTTCGTAACTGGAACAATTTTTTTCCAAATTTAAGGGGGGAGGGGGGGGGGGAGCAAGTTAAATCTTACGAACAGCAGAAAAAAATGGCGCTAATGTATAGAAAATGTCTTACGATGGTGTTTTTGTTAGTTACGATAATACTTTCAGAAACTAAAGTCAAAACTTAGTGCACATTTTATGTGTTGCACTGTGTAATTGAATGTTTGTGTGGTATTTTATTAATTTTTTTAAAAAAAGAATTGAATTCCTAAGAAGCATTTTATTATTTTTGAAAATAATTGAATTGTTACGAACGATTATATTAGAATTTTTTAAAATAACTCAATTTCCAAGAAAAAATTTATTACTTTTAAAATAATTGAATTCTTGTGAATTGTTTTAAAGTATTTGATTATTATTTTTGAGAATATAGTTTTTTTATTTCTAGTATTATCAAATTTAAAGTAGTGAAAATTCTCAAATAGATAAAAGTTTTGTTGATAAATCAATTTTATAAAAAAATTATTCCTTTATTTCTAAAAAAATTGAGATTTTGTAAAAAAACTTGTTATTGTGAAGTAGAAATGGACGATTGTGTACAAAAATTTAATTGTCAAAATAGAAATTATACAATTTTTTTTTCTTTTCTAAATAACAAAATTGTGATTTTGTATCAAGCTTTGATCACTCAAATTGGTTTATTTAGTTAGGAGAAAATAATATTTTGTATGAACACAAGGGTTAAAAAAATCATTTCACCAAAAATGTTATTAAAATTTTATTTAAAAGTAATTCATTTATTTATAAAACTTTTTCATATTTATAACAATAATTAAATGCTTACGAAGAGTATTATCATTTACAATAATAAAAATTGATTTCCAACGAAGAATTTTATTACAATTTGTGAAATTAATAAATCAGGATAATTAATTAACAAACTCAGTTAAGGGGGCAACCCTAGTTGTAGCGCGCAAAAATTGACCATTTTCATAAATTAATACAAAAAATTCACTAACATTTTTTAACAAACAGGAATTCTTCTCTGCATATCGGTTATCTTACTCTACTATTATTTTCTATTCTCCTCTCTTCTGATTCATATTTATAACAATAATTGAATGCTTGCGAAGAGTATTGTTATTTACGATAATAAAAATTGAATTTTTACGAAGAATAATATCACCAGAATTTGTAGTTTAAATTGTATACTTTTTGACAATAAATTGTTTTTTTTTTATTTAATTTATGAAAATGGTCAATTTTTGCGTGTTACAACTAGGGTTTCCCCGTTTAATAATCAAATTTTTTCGTTTGCATGTACATAACAATATATTAATACTAATAATGAATTGAATATTACGCGCGTAACATTTGCCAGTTTTGTTAATAAATTTTAATTTTAGAAATGTTATTTTCGAGGCACACTTGACACCTTTCCAAAGATCCTAAAGTTCTGAACGTTTAAATGAACGAAATTTATTTATTTCTTCTACAAATTAAATTTCTATTGGAATTATTTTGCGTCACTATTCAAAAAATTAATTACTAAGTTTCTAAACATAAATATTTTATTTTTTAAATGTTTTGTGATTAATATTTTAAAAAAATATTTTCAATAAAAAATATTTCGTTTATTAAAACGTTCAAAATTTGAGGATCATCCTTTCCACTGTAGCACTTGGATCGCAAATACATTAGTATGCGCAGGGCGCAAAATATTTTATGGGAGGAGTGTTCCCGCAGATACAACACATTTCAGGAGGATGGTGACACCATACATAACCTCAAAAGTAAAATATTTTTGAAATTGTTTGTACAACAAATAAAAATATAATTAAAATTAATTTGATCACACTTTGAATGATTTAGTTATAAAATGTTAAAAATACATTTATATTGAGTTAAAATATTTTTACAAATAATAATATTTTAAAACTCTACATTTTTTCTTTCAGCTTTAGAGAAAAACTACAATTTTTATCCAAATTTAACGAACAATAGCTCATTTTACTCGTTGAAACATTATCTATAATCGTAATCTTTTTAATGTTGTTGAAAATACGTTGTTAAAAAATTGTTTAAAAAATAATATTTAAATTGTTTATATTTTTTAAACACAATATTTTCAACAATATTAAAAAGATTACGATTATAGATCATGTTTCAAAGAGTAAAATGAGCTATTGTTCGTTAAATTTGGATAAAAATTGTAGTTTTTCTCTAAAGCTGAAAGAAAAAATATTGAATGTT